TTTGATAGCAGTTTTCTTCTATTTGTACTCCCTGATTTTGTGGGGTAAGAAGCTCCTTCCCACCTCTTCACTTACTTTGCTTTAACCAAGAAGTACTCAAAGCTGCTTTTCTCTCCACTCTTTTTCATGATTTTTTAAAAGAAAAATAAATTAGGATCCTCCCTTTCTGCCTTCCTTTTTCTGAAAGTGTTTGTAGCATCTGGGCTGCGCTCGTCTAGAATTTCTTCTTTCTTCCACACCACTCACAAAAAAATCTGATGATGACATTTGCTGTCTTGGTTAAAAAGCCACTGAAGATGATGATGCAGTTTGGCCTAACAGCATCAGGTCATGCTGTGGGGGAGGCTTCTGAGAAAGCCCTCTAGTTAGGGGTGGAACTCAAAGAACTGAATCCCAAAAGGATGCGTGGACAGAGGTTCCTACTGTGAGGCAGGTTTATTTTAAGCAATGTTTGTTCAAACCTTCCTGAGTACAAACAATGGCATATGTAATTATGAAACTGAGCATAATTTATCTAATAATCTGCACATTATGGTAACATGTTATAAAAACAAACCAACCTTCCTGGGAGTAGGTATTCAGCCAATGAAGAAATTGAGGCAAGCATTTGAATAGTTTATCTTTAATGACAAGAAGATATTAATTCTGTTATATCTTTTTATACACCAAATAATTTGTAATTTTAATTTCTAAGAAAATTATACTTAGATGACTGTGCTCTGAGTGTCTGTTACACTGCCCCACACTGTCACAGCTTTCAGACCTTTCAGCTGATGTTCCTAAATTTCAAATTCTAACAGATTTCTTGGAAGCGAGTAGCAGCATCTGAGGGGGAAAATGGCAATATGAGCTTATTATCATTTAAACCAAAATAAAGTCAGAACAAAAAAAACCCAGAACCAAATCCCTAAATATTTATGAAGATGTGTGTAATTTTCTACTGCAGAGAAAACCATGAGCATGCATTTTGGAATGACAGTTTCCACTTGTGGAAGTAGTTGTTGGATTACAATGAATTTATGAACTAGGTATGTCTGCTTTATAATGATTACTCAAATTACATTTTTGTTCCTAAAATGATTATTTATAACGTAGTTTGAAAGCAATCATACTCCTTTCCGCTGGTGAGGGGTCCAAAGGTCTAGTACAGGTAAAATGCTTGTTGGTGTTCACACATGATGGCTTGTTCACATCCAGTTGCTGACAGAACTGCTTGGCTTACAGGCATTTGCTTTTCACGGAATCCTAACTGTTCCTTCTATTGTAACAAAACTAAATGGGAATATTTTAATAATGATTGAGGAGCGTATGTTGTTTTATTTTGTGATTAAGTTTATAAGTAGCCTTAGGCTGTTTTTGAGTTGAAATCATATGCAGTGTTACCATTAAGCATAGCTGTAATAGAGTAGTTTCTTACCAGATTTGTGTGTGTTTGTTATATAAACAAAGAGGAGTTAAATGCTAAAAATTAAGTTTAGATACCGAAATTAGCTGGATGTGTGTTATTTGTGGCGTTACTGTCCTTTGCAATCTCTTTGTGCTTCTTTGAAGTCTAGTTCATTAATCGGAATGGATTCTTATTTGATTAATTAGTGTATTTTAGCCTGTTTCCTAAGAAAATGAGGTGTATGCAATTGTATCTGCCAATCCTGTTCTAGTCTCTTCCCCTTTTCCTGTGTGTTGCACTACAAACTTTCTTGATTGCTGATCTGTTCCAGCTAAAACTTGATGGAGATGGAGATATTGAAGTTTATTAAATTTCTATGAGTTACAAAATATCTGGGTAGAGTATGGACATGCATGGTAGGGAAGAGGCTTAAATTAGTGCCCAGCTGAGAGCAAAGCTGCAGTGTGAGCTCAGTGATTATTCCGTGCTGGATGCCTGGCTGGGAACCAGCTGTTCTGCTTGCTGAGCCTCTTTGAGCTGGCAGTTAAGGAGAGCGGAAGAGGCATCGGAGTCAAGGTATTTGAGAACATGAAAATAGGAATAGGGCTGTTGAAGTGCAGGGCGCAGGTAAATTGTCGCTTGCTGCTGCTTCCTGTGGAACTCTCCTTCTTTTTCCTGGTTATCTAATGGAGCTTCTTAGGAGAGAACTAAACAATGAGTAATGTAATTTCTTTTTTTTTTTTAGAAGTATTGGTAGGCAATAGATTCTTGAAATTTCACTTAAGCTAGTTGTTAGTGAAAGCTGTCTCACTACGTACACACTTGCACATATACATGTGCTAACTCACCACATGTTTGTGGGACAGTCATTTCGGACATGATTAAGCCACTAGAATTTTTTCTGCATGCTCTCAATGAAAATGATGAGATATAAAATCATTTTAATGAGTGTATTTTTTAGGCATAGAAATGAAAGTTAGCTTTGACGTGTGCTTCTGAATGAATGTTGTACGTTGTATGTGCTTACTGTACAACTTTAATTGGAAATTATCACCTTCAGTAATTGCGTTTGTATTATGTACAGTGTTACTTCTCCAGGTGGAAAACAGCAGCTCTTCTGTAAATGCAAACTCCTTTGGGCTATCCAGTATGTCTGTATTGGTCTAGAACGCTATTCAACTGCTTTCTTAAAGCATAAAGGATACCTAGGGTGGTTGGTCCAACTAATCATAGGATCAGAATTAAGAATTGTCCTCTAAATCTTCTAAATTTAGACTGCTTTTGAAATACTTACATTAAAAGCTTTTACACTCCAGCAGGATATAGATTTGTGTGACTCACATCTGGAATCTAGTAATTAACTCCACTAGTAACACTATATACTCTTCAAGCAAGTCGTTAGTACTTTTTTTGATGGCGTCATGTTCTCCAGTAGTTAACAGTAGATCAGCAAGCTGTCGGATGCAAGAACTTTCCATTTGACCACTTTCGAAATACCTGTGGCATTATCAATTTCACAGTAAACGTCACAGTATACAGCCTTTTGCTGCAGATTGCAGCCTCTAAAAAGAAAGTTGGGATATTCAGGTCTGGTCTCCTTTTACAAATTGTTTTGCACGGCATGGAGGGTAAGACATGCACTTGTTTCGACTGCTGGTGGTGTTATCAGTTGGTGAACTCACATGTATAGCCTTTTCGTGCTCAAGATACGGGTATCAGCAGCTTAAGCTAACATGTTTCTTTCCTTATTGGCAATAATGTTGTGTGCAGAAAATGACCTGAGAGCTGGCATGTGATATCTGATCTGCTTTGGGATTCAGATTCGGTGGCTGACCACAGATGTGCAGCGGAGGGCTGGGAGATTTGCTCATGCTGATTAGCCAACCCCTGGGCCAGAGTAGCTGAGCCTCGCAACAGATGGGAGCCCAAAGAGAGACATGTATAGGTGCATGAATGGTTTTGCAGTAGGTTGTGACCACAGAAGACAGTGAGGAAATGGCTCAAAGGAGGGAACACATCACGAGAGCAATGTGGTAAATAGTCTGGAAATTGTATCCAGCAGGTAATTTGGAGGCTTCAGTGACCAATTTTCCAGTGGTGGTGTGGTTTAACCCCAGCTGGCAACTAAGCATCATGCAGCTGTTCACTCACTCCTCCCTGCCCCAGTGGGATGGGGAGGAGAATCAGAAGGGAAAAAAAGTAAAACTTGTAGGTTGAGATAAGAACAGGTTTTAGTAATTGAAGTAAAATATAATAATAGTAATAGTAATGAAAAGGAAGATAACAGAGAGAGAAAACCCAAGAAAGGACAAGTGATGCACAGTGCAGTTGCTCGCCCCCGCCTGCCCGATGCCCAGCCAGTCCCTGAGCAGCGATTGGCCCCCCAGCCAGCTCCCCCCAGTTATATACTGGGCATGATGTCCTGTGGTGTGGAATATCCCTTTGGCCAGTTCGGGGCAGCTGTCCTGGCCATGCTCCCTCCCAGCTTCTTGTGCACCTCTCGCTGGCAGAGCGTGGGAAACTGAAAAGTCCTTGACTTCGGATAAGTGCTACTTGGCAACAACTAAAATATCAGCAACAACTGAAACTTCAGTGTGTTATCAATGTTATTCTCACACTAAATCCAAAACACAGCACTGCACCAGCTACTGGGAAGAAAATTGACTCTGTCCCAGGCAAAACTAGGACAAATGGGTAATGTGCTGTAGAGGACTTAGTCATGTATGTCTAGTTTAGTTAGTAAGGGATGTTGAGCTGAAAAATGTGTTTTGAAAATGAATAGGAGACAAGGATATTTGAGTATTTACAAAGTGATGTCTATTTTGAATATAATAGCACACTGTTTCATTTGTCTGTTAATATTGAAGCTGTATGATGCATATTGTCCACTGTGCCCCCCAAAATCGAATACTGAATTAAGTTCAAAGAATAGTAGGAATACTTGCTTGCTTTGGTGCTGGAAGGCTCAGGCTAGCACAGGTGTGAGGCTTGGGGTGTGGTAAGAGGGAAGGCTGGGCTGTAAATGAAGGCTGTCTTACCCTCCTTCAGAAGTGATGTATCTCTTCTTTTAGTGAAGTGCTTTGTAGAATTCAGCCCCTGTCTATAGACGTGATCTGACCAGGTGAAAACAAAAGACATATAGAAGCAGGTTTCCCTGAACTTGACATTCACTTTTTAATGTAATAATTAATTTTCAGCTTTTTTTCCCTATACTTGTGGATTGTGGTGTTGTTTTTTTTTTACACCAAGTAATACTTGACATGGGAAGATAAACTTCTTACTCAGGACTTACAACATCAAAACAGGCAGATAAGAGGTACAGCAAACTTTGTGATTAGAACATCGTTCACTCTCAGTTAATTGGCAAATTGAAGGGACAAAATCAAAAGACCTCTTTTGCCTGGGACATGAATATTGGCAGATCATTTAACAGGAGAGACTAAGCCCTTTGTAAACCATTTTCTGTACTTTGGGGAAGGGGAAAGGAACTAGAAAGAAAACGAGTGTCGTGGTTTTGTTTGCAGTATAATGTATCTACATGTCAAAAAACAGATGATTTAATTTTGAGTTTCTGAGGATTCAAATGTTTACATTGTCTCTTCATCCAGATTCCAGATCCAGCCCATATTATGGCTGGCAGTGGGTCCAGATCAGGACCGTCCAGTGGGCTTTCCATGAAATCACAGCTGCAGATCACCGGTAAGCATTTGAAAGGATGTGTCTTTCTACTTAGAAATGTGAAAGTGTTTTTCCCACAATTAAACCAAAGTTACTAGTATGTTGTATTTCAGGAAGTTTTGAGTTGTGCAAAACCCAAGAGGAGTCGCCTAATAAAATTGATGGTGTTGTGCCATCATTACTTGGCAGAAATACAGCTATTTTATTCAGGATTTTATGTAAAATGTGTTTTCAAATTATATACTTCTGTGTAAAAAGAAAAAGGGAAGGAATAATTCTTTTGAATGCTGTTAAGTAAATTGTACAGAACAGTCCTCTTTGAAATGTAATCATGTGTTATGATACTGCTTTCAGTTACTTGACATAATACTGAATTTAGCATTTTCTCCTAACAATCATTTTACATTTTAAGCTAAGTGAATCTGAACAGCTGATTTGACTTATTGCTTCTCCCTTGTTACATGTTTTCACAGGCACCATTGTAAAGGAGCTTTGATAAAAGTGTTGGTGAGAATAGTCCTGTAATTGAGCACCTGTAGATTGCGTAGGAATGGATTTACATGACATGCTTTGCTTTTTGTAGTGCCCCACCAACAGAGCAGCTGTTGAAACTTCATTACCAAGTTTTCCTCACTTTTGCTCTCTGACAAATTTTACTGAAGCATAAAGGTGAAGTCTGGGAGCAGGAGATATGTGGATGTATGCAGGTCTATGTTTAGAAGCGTCAAGGGTGATTTTGCAGCATCAGTGTGGAAGATCTGTGGGTATATGCAGAAGTTCCATAAGTTGATGTTGTGGGGATGAAAAGAATTGTGAAAAATAGATGGGGAAGCTTTAGGCTAGAAAGGAGGTTGGAACAGAGTAAGCTGTACTGGCTCTAGCAGTCACACTGAGGTCACAAGCTTGTTTTTCTCAGCATGCCGTGAGACTTCAAGAAAAATCTTGTCCTTACAGGTTGATATTGGAGAGAAAAATTGAAGAGGTTTGGAAGGAGGTACATCTTCCATATAGCTATGGAGAGCAGAGCTAAGGATTGATGTGGTGATTGCTGTCTAAGGCTTGCTCCATTAAAGGCCTGTGACTCACATAAAGGGAAATTGAAAAAAATGTCTTGGTGTTTAGAATTGAGACTATTAAGGTGTTTGAATGGTTCTTAAGCTCTGTAGAAGTTCAGCTGGAGCCTGCGAGCTATTTCCTGTGCAAGCAGGCGTTACCTTTTGTAGACAGTTCTGTAAACAGCACCTCCCACCTCCCCAGCCTCACCTCCCCGTTCTGCTGTCTTCATTAGTTTAAAAAGAACTTTCAGATTGTCTGAGTAAGAAAGAACCTTGAAAGTAGGTACAAGACTGCTGATTTGTGCTGCCTCAAAGTAGGTCTTGATGTCTTTGAGATAGCTAGTGGTGTTGAGGCTTGAGATGCTGTAGTATAGAAGTACTGGAGGCACGAGGGGAAGGGAAGGGGAGCTATTTGTGAAAATTAATGTTAGGTAATTGAAGTTAATTTCTGTAAGATGTCTGTAATAGAGAGTTTCCCTTGGGAGCAGTTCAGAGCAGTTTACACTAAGCTACTTCTCTAAATCTCTGAAGGAGCATAGACTATAAAGGGAATCTAGGTAGATTAGCCATATGGGCTTCAATTACTCATCTTTTTTTAAGGATGTAGTGCAGCTGAGGTAGGTGGCAAAATCACAGGAGACTAAGTTGTTATTTGTTAGAACACAGCGGAGTTCACGGGCCACCTGGAAATGATAATATCTTTGTCTTAAGTACTGTTTTGTGAGTTTAGTGTAGACAGATGTGTACGCATGCTGCTTTGGCTAACTGAAGGCAATGTAGACAGTGTTTGGAAACACAGGAGTGTTGCAGTCAATGATGTTGAATGCTTTAAAAAACCTCAAACACCCCCAAAACCAACCAAACAGAAAACCAAAACACTCTCCCCCCGCCTTTAAAACTCCAGAGCTGCAAGCCTGGTCCAGATTTTGTTGTTTCCAGAGCAGTAGGTGGTTATTGGAACTCAGAGTTTGCCTTTCATTAGCTTTTCTGTAAGTTTGCTTTGATACAGGACACTTAACACAAAGTTCTTTTTCTTAATTATCTTCTTTTAACCAGAAGTGGTGGCAGTTTTCCACAATTCCTTAATGAGAGTGATAGATCACGTTTTGAGCTTTTTAATGAGCAAGGGTAATAAACTCCAGGAATTCTCTTGGCTGGCGATAGACAGGAGGCGGTTGTGGAGGATATTTTCTACTTTCCACACCGAAGTGCTTTTGTGGCTCTTACAGTTATTAATTAGTGTCTGATCTTACAGAAGTGCTGTTGCATGTTTTACGCATTTGTGTGAGCTATTGCATTGCATAAAATGATCTGGAATGCAAGAGCATTTCTGTCCATCTAATGTATTGTTTCTTTAGTGTTATTGTCAGGCATCAGTGACCTCATACTTGAATAGTGAAGCACAACTGAGAAATACTATTTGCATTTGAAATCTTACTGAGTGAATTTTTATTTTTCTCTTTCTTAACAGTTATTTCAGCAAAACTCAAAGAAAAAAATAAATGGTTTGGACCTAGCCCTTATGTGGAAGTCTCGGTAGATGGACAGTCAAAGAAGACAGAAAAATGCAACAACACAAATAGTCCAAAGTGGAAACAGCATCTTACAGTGTAGGTTTGATGGTTTTGTTTTCCAGCTTCTTTGAGCTAAATGGATGCAATTGACAGTGGACTTGAGGGTTGCATTTTTTTTTTTAAGCAAGGCATTCAGTGTTACATGGTATGAAGATATTTGTGTAATTTTTGCAGCAAATATACTACAGTCTGGAATATATCTTTACAAACTGTTGCGTTATGTCCTATGGAAAGGACCCAGTGCTTACAAAGGAATGTAATTTGTATTAACGTATGTGGCATACCAGACGAGCTTTAATTCTGTGAGTAGTAAGGAAAGTAAGGTAACTTGGTATTAAGACTGACAGTCCCATGCACGTTTCTGTTGTCGTGTTTAAGGTAAAGGTGTTTCAGAAATACTGTGCCTGAAAAGTGTGGCTGTTCTTTGTGTGCCACTTTGTTGTGTGCCTTGCCATAGCACAGGTAGTTGGCTCTGTCTTGTGCGTGTCTGAGTTCAGTCACAAGTACCAAATTCCTGATCAGTTTGTGCCTTCAGAGACACAACTAAAATTGGATTCAAGACGAACACAGCTGTTGATGTTTGCTTGGCCCAGTATTTGCATTGAGATGGTAGGATGTATAAAGCACAGAAAAAAACCTATCTGCAGCTTCTATAAAATTTGGTTTTCTCTCAAGAATGTCACATGGAACACTGGGATGAAGGTCAGTCTTGTGCTTGTACCTTTGCTTATGCTTAAATTCTAGATTATTATTCTTGAGGCACCTGGAACATTCCTGCCTGATGAAAACCTTTTTTGTGCCTGTTCTTTACTTGTAATTCAGGTTATTATGAAGTTTTAGTTACTATGTACCTTTCTGCTGCAAAGAAGTATTCTGTGGAAAAGAAAACCTTGTGCTTTACATGCATATCAATGGGCAAGGGCAGAATTTTATTTTCGCTTTTAAAGCCTGCCTTTTTTTCTTTTTTTTTTTAATTGAAATGTTTGTGGCTTGTGCTGTGCGAGTCCATACAATAATAGATGGGCAATTTTTGCTCCTATTGAGTAAGCGCCAAACAGACACCCAATGCCTGTCAACTTCGTTGAAGATTACACTAATGCTACATGGAACTTAGTGGAGTAAGCTAATTGGTTTTTAGGAAATATTTTGACACGGCTGCTTACATTCAGATTCAGAATTAAAAGGAAAAGTGTAACGGCTTCTGCAAATGGGTGTGGACCACGGGCTTCTCTTTGAGGAGGCTGTCTGTTAGGTGGAGCTGCATATTCTGAAAGGATTGTCTGACTGTGAAAGTCTGGACATACCAACCATATACAAGTGACATTATCCACTGAGAAAATGAACAATTTAAATAATTTAAAAATATATAAATGTTAGAATATTTCTAACAGAAAAAGAGTATCAGTATTAAAAATTACTTTGAAGTTGCTGTGGGGGATTTTAAGAAAACAAAACAAAAAGCAAAACAAAACCAAACCCCCCCAAAAAACCCCAAAACCAGAAATGTGTTCATACAATGTCAGCAACTGATACATAAATTTGTTTCTCTGTTGTAATGCTTCTCAAAACTCAAGGGACTATGAGGCGCTGGTGAACGTTTTGCCTCTAAGAGCGACTTTCTAGGAAAAAAAAAAAGGTTTTTTGAGTCCATTCTTAGTTGTAATATCAGCTATTTTGTGATGCTTATCTTTCTGCTGTTAGAATACTTTTAAGAAGGAAAAAGTGAAATCCATGATTTTAGGTTTTTATTGTCACTGAGAGTGCTTCCTTTATTCTCCAGATTTGCCTGATCGCATACACTGTCTCAGCTGTCATCATCTTGCTAAAAAATGTTTGGTGAGATTTAGCAGTTTTGACATGAGCATGGTTTGATTCAGCTTGTTTTGGAGCTAGAGGGAGGAAGAGCAAGCAACTGCTGCAGCAGCAAATATTTGTTGGGATGTGTTCCTTCTCCAGTAAGGGGCTCTCCCAGTACATAACTGCTGGCATAGATCTGGGAGTGGAGGGTCTTGCTGCATAGGTAGCCCTTGACCAAGAGCTTTTGGGTTTAGTGAGTGACTCTGCTGATGGTTTTCTAGGAGCAGAGATGTCCCTTCGCTGCCACAGGTTGACAAATTCAAACTGTGTGTTTGGCAGAGGCTGCAGTGTTGTGGTTTTATGACCTTACCAGCCCATGAGATTTTTCAGGGAGAACTTTGGCTCTGGTTTGGGCTACATAGAGGCTTACATTGCCGTTGTTTGTACTGTGCCTGCTCTCTGGAAGGCATCTTTCCAGGTTGTAGCACCATGCTTTGAATGAAGTTCAGATTTTTGTGTCACCAAAACAAGTAAAAATTTTTAAAAAGCCTCAGGGAAGTGAAAGAGGGGGTAGAAATAAACAGTTGGATTCTTGTTTGAAATACTTGATTTGGAATGATGAGACACTGTTGCTGGGCCCATAAACAACTTTTCTGGTAGTAAACCTGGAACCGCTTCTCCAAGGACATAATCAAATTAGCACACTGTAGAAGTAATACATCCTACTCCTGGAAATGGTGAAGGAAGTTTTTGAATTGTTATGGCATGGCAGATGTAGTATGTTCTTCTCTTCTCAGTAAATGCATTGTGAAGCTAGAAGTTTATTAGTAAAAAGTTCAATAATTTTGTATGTATTCCTGCTTCTTTGTCATAATATGATGTAAGTATGTGCCAGCTTATTAGTCATCTTCTAAAAATAATTGAAGAAATAATTTTTAGTATTTCCAAGTACTTCTGTGTTTATGTGATGTCCTAAAATTTTCTGATAACCCCTTCAGAAAGCGAATTTGCTGTCTTCCCTTTCTGTGTGAAAAATTCTCACATCAAGGTACACAAGTGCTGCATGCTCATGAGATGTGAACCCGCAAGAATCAGTCTTTTTTTTCTGATCCTGGTTACACTCAGATGCTAGTTGTGAGCTGGTAGTTTTTCTATAGATATTTCCCTTAAAATAGTAATAATAAAAAATGTATTCAGTCTATGAAAGGTCTTGCAACAGTCTTGATTTACATGACATACACACATGACTGCGTACAAGAATGTGATAATTAGAAATGGTTTGATGTTACCACCATTATTTCTTTGTTTTAAAATAATTTTAAGTGGCAGTCGGGGTAGATTGCTCGTTTCACCCACTTCCCCTGCTAACAAATGCTCTTACACAGTGCTCAACTTTTTCTTTTCAGAATTGTCACTCCTGTAAGTAAATTAAACTTTCGAGTCTGGAGCCATCAAACCTTAAAATCGGATGTCCTTCTGGGAAGTGCTGCTCTGGATATTCATGAGACTTTGAAATCAAACAGTATGAAACGTAAGTACAAGATTAACGATACCTTGGAATGCTGCAGAATTTGTCAGGAATTGTCTTTTAATGAGTGCTGTGTGCAACTCTGTAGATGGCCCTTAAGAATTCTTTCTGTTGCTACAGATTGCACTTAGGAGCTTCTGCCTACTTTTTCAGTGTAATTTTTTTTTTTGTTATACACTGTTTGCTACGTTGTCGTGGAAAACATGATGTTTTTCTCTTTGGTAGTATGTGCAAGAGTGAAAGCCTAATTAAAGAAAGGAGTGTTTCCCTTTACAGAGCTTAAAAATGAAAACTGATATGTTCCTGGTGCTAGACCAGGAAATACATAAAGTTATTTTTGTCCTAAATAGTGTTACAGGAGTGTGTTGTGTTATTTCATGCGTCTTAGAACTAGTCAGGCTTTAGGCAGCCTGTGCATCTTGTGACGCTGGAACGAGCAGTACAGAACTCTGCACGCCCGTTACAAAATTTGGGTTGCTACAGCAAACAGCTGTGTGCTGTCGTACGCCTGCTCTGTCCTTTAAAGGGGTGTTTGCTCCCGGACTCTCAGGTGTGGGCATTGTAAATGCAGTGTGTGGATAGCGCTGTAATA